TTACATTATAATCTTCTTAATCTGGGTGACAGGAGTGCAGAAAGAAGTGCACTCCTGTGACCCAAAAGAGAAGTATGACCACACTTCTCCTTAAAGGGTCACTTTGATTTCCCCTATGTGTACCCATTAAAGTGTAACTCCAGAACACTTTTGTTATGTTTTGTTCTAGATGGTGATATTAAGGGTTAGTACTGCTGACAGGTGTTATTGCTGTGTTTCTGTTGGGGAAATTTTGCCTTCTCTTTTACCCAACAGGCACAAGATATTTTTAAATTGTGGGGGATATACCCATTTCAGATATCAATGGAACATGTGTTTTTTATTTCTGGATCTTCCTTTACCTACTGTTCTACTACAGTTTTTTTTAAAACAAATCTTTAAATATTGGTGTTCATATAAAATGAACCATTAACATTGGAATGCATTATTAAATAAAGAAAATTGTAGGATAATATTTTTCATATCTTCAAATTTTATAGCTGGATAAAGAATGTTTGTTGTATAAAATTTTAGTAGTCAAACAGTATATGATCAAAATCTCAAGAAGGTTAATCAGACACTATATTACAGAATTCTGGCTGAACTGGTTCTAGGTAGCAGTCTCCTCCTTCACAAAAAATGAACCACGCCAGCCAGAAGCATGCTGGGAATGTTGACAACCCACCTCTAACTGTATATGCCAAAACACAAGTAAATTGTCTTGGGGCCAGTCATCTCCCTTGATAAATACAGTGAAGGAAATAAGTATTTGATCCTCTGCTGATTTTGAATGTTTGCCCACTCACAAAGAAATGATCAGTCTAAAAATCCAATGGTAGGTGTATTGTAACACTGAGAGACAGAATAGCAACAAAAAATTCAAAAATGCAGGGGATCAAATACTTATTTCCTTCACTGTAATGAAGTTTAGACACTTGATCTGAGGTCAACCAACTCTTTTTGCGAGAGTATTACCCACACTCATTTTGGGTATATGCATAGTATGAAACTGCAGATGCAAAGCACATTTCACATAACAAGGGAGCATTATTAGCCAGAGATAACCACAATCACCCCCCTCATAAAGTAATTAGAAGCCTAATTGGCTATCTGCATTGCTATTTCTGGCCAGAGTCCACACTGCATGTATTCCAAATGATGATCAGTATATTAAAGTGAACCTGTGGCCAGGCTATGGGCATCAAGTATTTGCATATTCATAACAAGCGGTAAAAAAGGGATTTACAACATGTAGCTGCACTGTGGAGCCATTCATCATCAAAGTTTACAGCAGGAGTACTGAACTTATCCAAGTCCTTCTCTCAGTAGCTCAGCTTCCCCACTTCCCCTCATAGAGCTTCTAATCTAGGTTTACATTAGAGATTAGAAGGTGGAAATGCTGCTGAGTTAAAGTGTTACTAAACCCAGGGCCCTGAATTCTCTATATCCGGTCTCTCGCAGTACACACAACATGGAAATGCAATTATTTTAGTAAATATAAACTGCTAAATGCCTTTTCTCATCAGCAATTAGAAGTCACAAGACTCTATTAGTGTCCAGCCGAGCACTGGTTAAAGCTTGTAGGAGGCGTTTTCTCTAGGAGGATGCAGAACCCCTGACCTCTGTCTGGGCAGTGCTGATTGGTCCTGTGCTGATCACATGCACTCTCCCAAGGAAAAAAAAAAAACTCTCAAGCAATACATACCAAACTGAGCATGTGCAGTATCTACACACAATATGTCCTATCAGTAGATAAGAGGGGGGCACTGGAAGAAGGAGAGTATCAGAGAAGTCAGGATCAAACATCCTTTTTACACAATGCACAATAACCACTTCGGTTCCACAGTGAGTATAATAAGCATGCTTTACTGCATATAAAGACTGATTTTACTGTTGTGAGTTTAGTAACACTTTAACAACTTTGATGCCTCAGTGAAGTTTGATGATAAATTGCTCCGCAGTGCTTGCAGCTACAGAGATCAATGAAAACTTGTTGTTAAGTTAATTTACTGTTTGCTAAGAAAAGTAAATAGTTGAATTTCTGTAGAATGTCCACAGGTTCATTTCAACCTCCTCCCGCCTGCCATATAAGGAAATCAAGGGCGGGCGGGCGGCGGCTCTTTCGTTCTGAGAGGTTGTCATATGACGACTTACCATTCTAACTGTGCATGCGCACCAACGGGAGCGTGCGGCAATCTGTTGTGTGCTGTGTCCCTAGGACACAGCAGATCACCGATCACAGTAAAGAGCCAATGACACAGGCTCTACCATGTGATCAGCTGTGTCCAGTCACGGCTGATCGCATGTAAACAAGGAAATGCTGGTTATCAGCAGTCCTCTCCTCATGCTGACAGCTCGTGAGGAGAGGAGAGCAGGTAAGCGGCATTCCTCAGAGGGGAAATCTACACTAATCATCAGTGCCATGATGATCTGTGTAGCCCCATGTGTGCCACCTGTCAGTGCCCATCAATGCCACATACCAGTGCCCATCAGTGCACATGTCACATATCAGTGCCTACCAGTGCACATCAATGCCACATATCAGTGCCCATTACAGCTGACTTTCAGTGCCAACTATCAGTACCAGTTAGTGCTGCCTATCAGTGCCAGTCAGTGACGCCTATCAGTGCCAGTCAGTGATGCCTATCAGTGCCTCCTATCAGGTCCATATATGAATGCTGTCTTTCAGTGCCCACCAGTGATGCCTGTCAATGTCCAACAGTGATGCCTGTCAATGCCAGTGCCCATCAGTGCAGCCTATCAGTGTCCATCAGTGCAGCCTCATTAGCGCACATCAGTGAATGGAAAAAATTACTTATTTACAAAGTTTTATAACAGAAACTAAGAAAAAAAATAATTTTTGCAAAAATTTTCAGTTTATTTTAGTTAATCAAAAAAAAATAAAAAAAAACTCTAGTGTTAATTAAATACCACCAAAAAAAAAGCTCTATATATGTCTAAAAAAAAAGGATACAAATTTTGATTGGGTACAGTGTTGCATGACCGTGCAATTGTCATTCAAAGTGCGACAGTACTGAAAGCTGAAAATTGGCCTGGACGTGAAGAGGATAAAAGTGTAGGCAAATGGTTAAAATGCCTACATACACTCACAATCCAGCAACTACAAGATCTTTCTGATCAGAGATTATGGTCCAGATGACAATGTTAACATATACAGTATAATTGTGCATCTGGAGAGGAACCACTCTATAGTCATCTCCTGTTCTGGGAAAAAGGTAATGGTGATTAGCTGGGTAAAAAAAACTATAGGTGATAAACTTTGCTTCTGAAAATCTTGGACCCAGATGCCCTCCATTTTTGGGTAGGGCCTATGGACCAGAGCACTCTGACTTAACAGAATCAGCAGATGTTCGCTGACAACCATAATCACCTTAAATGGCAACAGCTGAATATTGAACAGTGCAAATTGTAATTATTGCAAGTACCCTGATGATAACTATGCCACATATACAGTCACATAAAATATTTTGTTGGAAGAATGTATCTGCATCATCTAAGGCTAAAACATTTTGTCTACTACAAAAGTTGTTCTTGATGAGAATACATGAAGAGATCCTATAAAGCCACACAATTCTCATAAAATGGCTATATTTAAAGGGATCCTGTCACAATAAAGGGATCCTGTCACAAGAAACACATTGGGGTTTATTTACTAAAGCTGGAGAGTCCAAAATCAGACTCCCTTCTGCATAGAAACCAATCAGCTTCTAACCTCATCTTGTTCAATGAAGCTTTGGCAATGAAACCTGGAAGCTGATTGGTTTCTATGCAGAAGGGAGTCTGATTTTGGACTCTCCAGCTTTAGTAAATAAACCCCATTGAGTCTACCATTTCTGGCCCCTCCTTCTAAAAATGCTAGATTTCTGACTGTTATTCTGATTTTTTGTTTCAATTCATTGAATCCAGAACAAGTATGTAGATACATTATGGCTGTACTTCAGCTTTGCTGATCTACATCCTTGTTTTTGCCTGTTGATGCAAAGAGCTGAAGCCAGTGGGTGAAAACAGCCAGGATACTAGCATTTTCAGAAGCAAATCTGCAATAGCAGCAACATTTTTCTCTTGGGGATGGGTTTCATTTACCAGTCATGTCAAAAGTATTTAAGCCAAGCTGTAAAAATGTGCATGTAAAATAAATGCTAATGTCTCATAGCCTAGAAACCAGTTGTACTATTTGCTTTCTAAACCGGCTTTGGTGACATTTCTGTAACACTAAATGGTAGCTTTAAACGGCACACCTAGTGAAAGTTTCCAGTGCCTACAAAATCGTCAGTGCTGGAAAGCGAACATACAAGTATCGGGGCATTCCACACATTCACCCATGGTGTGTACATCTCACTGGAGCTGTCAAACATTCATGAGCAATTACTACGATTATATTCTATCACTCCCCTAAAGGTCAGATCCAACCAAGCACAGCTGTATGTTACTCTAGGTTCAAACAGGCATAACATGTAAATAAGCCTACAATGAGCTAGAACTATTCAATTTCTTCTGTGCTAATGTTTTTAAATACCTGCAGGAAGATACCATTATTTATGCAGATATAATTGTTTATGAGATAGTGAAATGTCTATTTACTGACCAAGGCTGCCATCAGGAAGGTGCTAGGCTAGGTTCTTGGGCAGTTATTATTTTGCACAATTAATAGGGATGGGTGAGATGAGTTTCCATGGGTGAGATGAGTTTCCATGGGTGAGATGAGTTTCCATTGCCTGATAGGGTTTGGGATAAGGGGTGACCTGCAAGTAAGGGTGGTGGAGACCCTACTCAGTAGAATGCAATAGTTCTGTACAAATTAGGGAATTCAGCAAACCAAAGAAATTATCTTTTACAAGCTGTGGGCGTCTCTTCTGTATAAAAGAGGAACCATTTTTGGTGACCCTGTACTGGTGCAGAAGATAGTCACTGATTGTGTTGCTATGAGTTTAGTTAGGCAGACATTTTCCTGCATGTATCATTGACATCTTGAAGAATAAGGATAACAGAATAAGTCATACCTGCTGGGGCTTGATTCAAACATTGTGTCTTCAAGGTTCTCTGGAACTCGGTATCTAGTTTCTGTGACTGTGGTTGTCATAGTGCTTTCTCTGGAACGTGGACTAGGCCTGAAAAAAACATTTAGGCTTTAAGGGAAAACTAAGTTGGGATAGGTGATATACGGGTGTCTGAGTGCTCTTATATCAGTGTAGGACACCAGAGGTGACAACTCAATCCCCAGTCTATATTGTAGTTCATAAAATCAGTACTCCCATACATCTGCCCATAACTGCAGACAGGGGCTCCACCAAAGAACTCAGCGGCCGACAGTGGATTGATCCTATAATATGACAAATATTCACCTTGGAGTGTTGCTTTTCTCTTCTTTGGGGGTTTCTGTTTGTGGCTGCTCAGGCAATGTCTCTACTAATATCTTGACATTTCTGTTTCCTGAATTTGAGGTTATGCTGGAGATACAGAAAATAGGAATATTGTTGAATTTTGTATACAATATATTTCGTGCCCTGCGCTATTTCGCACATAAATATTCATTGGTTAAAGCAGCCCATTTAAATGAAAGACCTGCCAAAGCACCAGAATGGACAAAAAAATGGCATGCACCATTCTTTCCAATGCAGCATACTGTACAATTGTACAGGGTGTTGTCATGCTCTGCAAAGCATGTGTATCAGAAGTGTGTTAGGTTAGTGGATTGGTGTGCTATTGACAATAATGGCACCACAACCTGCTACTGAAGGCAGCATGTATTAACAAAGCTAAAGCTTTGAGGAGAGAAGAGAATAGACCCTAAAACAACAGCCTCTAAATGCCACTTGCATTTGAAATGAACATACAATATAACACAAAGATTGTGGCTGGCAGCTAAACCTGGGAATGCAGGTTCCAACAAATATCAGTTGTTGAACTGACCATTTAATATAACAGATAATCACCTTGGAGAGCTGCTTCTCTCTGTTTTGTGTGTTTCAGTTGTTTGTGGTTGCTCAGATAATGTCTCTATTGATATCTGGACATTTCTGTTTCCTGAATTCGAGGTTATGCTAGAGATACAGAGAAGAGAAATATTGTTGAATTCTGTATACTCTACATTTCTTTTTAGCTTGGGCTGGATTGACACCAGTATGTTCCAGTGCCTTGCATTAACACACGTCATTTCGTACATAAGCATGTGTTTGGTTAATAAAACTTATTCAAGTGAATGGCCTGACAAAGCATCAAAATGGACAAAAAAAATGGACATTCACTATTTTTTCCAATGCTGTGCACCACAATGTACAGTATAGTAGTGTGTTACAAGACGTCATGAGCTCCAAAGGATATGTATTAGAGGTGTGCTCTGGGTTAGTGTATTAGAATGTCATTGACAATAAATGGCACCATAATCTTCTACTGAAGGCAACATGCATTAATACGCACTGTGGAGAGATGAGAATAGACTCTAAAAGAACCTCCAGATCCCCCTTCCATTTGACGGGAACATAAAATATAACACCAAGGCTGCAGCCGGCAGCTAGACCTGGGAACTCAGGTGCCAACAAATATCATTTGGTGAACCAACCCTTTAATATGACAGATAATCACCTTGAATGGCTGCTTCTCTCTGTCTTATGGGTTTCAGTTGTTTGTGGCTGGTCAGATAATGTCTCTATTGATATCTTGACATTTCTATTTCCCTGATTCGATGTTATACTGGAAAAGAAAACAGAAATATTGGTGCATTCTGCATAAAATATTTTTTCTTTGTACATTAAAAACAACTCTAAACACCACTTGCATATGAAGTGAACATACAATGTAACACAAAGATAACACTAGATTAAAAAAAAAAACAAAACATTTGCAGTAATACACACTGGAACAACGAAAAACACCAGCACCTTTGTGGGCCCACTCCTTGTATTGTTCAATATGATTTGTTTCTTGTGTCAGTCATGATGATAAAATATCTGAGACAAGCGCAGACACAGCATGTCTCCTACCTATCATAAATTAGGATTGGTCATTGATGTAGGGAATCAGCTAATTTGCAAATTAGGAATCGCAAACTGAAAATAAAAGTTTGAAAGCTCAACTCCAGGGAAACGTAAAAATACTTTTATGCTTAGTCCAGGGGCGGACTGACAACTCATGGGGACCCCGGGCAATAGGGGATCATGGGGCCCCTGTGTCCTTGCCTAAACTCAAAAAAGCCTATGAAAAAGGTACCAGGGGCATCTCATGGGGCCCCCTACTGACCTCGGGCAGTGCCAGAGTTTCCAAAAGGTCAGTCTGCCCCTGGCTTAGTCTGTATTATCTCAAAAGTACTGAATTTTTACATTCAAACACTAAAAGAACCTGAATCTTTCTTTATATCAGCTTAAATTGTTACTAAACCCACAACAGTAAAATCAGTCTGTATATGCATTAAAGCATGCTTGTTATACTCAAAGTGGAACCGAAGGGATTAATCCTCTGCATTGTGTACAAATGCTGTTTGATCCTGACTTCTCTGATCCTCCCCTTTTTTCAGTGCCCTCCTATCTCCTGATAAGACATACACTATATTGCCAAAAGTATTGGGATGGCCGCCTTTACGTGCACATAAACTTTAATGGCATCCCAGTCTTTGTAGGGTTCAATATTGAGTTGGCCCACCCTTTGCAGCTAAAACAGCTTCAACTCTTCTGGGAAGGCTGTCCACAAGGTTTAGGAGAGTGTCTATGGGAATGTTTGACCATTCTTATAGAAGATCATTTATGAGGTCAGGCACTGTTATTGGATGAGAAGGCCTGGCTTGCCTTCTCCACTCTGCATGCCTAGAACCTCCTACAATGTCACCCCTGCTGGGAACATTCCTGAGGTGTAGCTAAGATTATGGTCTCTGTTAAAAATCCCTGACATCATCTCCTGCACCATTGATTATTGATAAAACAATGTAATGATGTTCAGAACAGCCAATTGCTATGTAACCACTCTAACACATTTTAATTAGCCGCAAGAATCCTTGATATTAACCTCTAATTAAACCTCAATATCAATGCATGTGATTTTTTTTGTGATTATGATTAAACATCCATGGGGATTGGTACCATGGAAAATAATGATCCTGATTTTTCTTTAAAATCTTTGTTATGCTATTCAAAATAAAAAATTCTAAATTCTGAACCATTTCATATCACTGTGGCCCACGATCGGTTACCAAATCACTTAAGTGGCCCGAGCTCTTCAAAAGCTTGGGCACCCCTGTACTAGAACATTGTAACAATTAATTTCCTTTATTTGTTCTCTTGGGTCTGTTACATATATTGGTGAAAGTGTTTTGTTATATTTGTTTGAAAAGTACACAAATACCTGTTGATCCTACCAAACAGATAACTTCATTCTCTGCTCTGCTGACTGTTATACTGTAACATGGCATTGTTCCCAGTTCTCTTTGTGCACTACAGAACACCTCATCCCTATATTATGGAGAAGGGGAGAGGCGTTCTTTAGCCATAAAACATGTCCTGTCCCAAGGTTACAATGCTAATCATCCCTTATAGAGTAGGGTGAGTGAGTGTTGTCACTCTAGGACAGAAAGCTTGTAGCTGGTAGGGTCACCAGGTGAAATTGAAGGGGAAAAAATGAATGCAGCTACCACATCTAAGGACTGGTAACTGAAATATATTACATTTTTGTAATTGGGCCAATATCCACTTTAAGCACAGGCTTAGAAAAAATGTTGTATTTGCATAGAGCGCGCACACACTGGAACTCCATTAACTCAAATCAAAGCAATGTAGACAAACATTATGGTACTTTCAATTATATAATGTTGTTCAACTTACTATTTTCTAAGGTCAGCCTCAGTTTTAACTATTCATATTGATATGATAGAGAAACTTTTGTAAACTTTCAATCTGTTTAGTCCTGTGCCATGTTCCCTTCACAAGAGTTGTTTACCCTTCTTTTGTAGTTATCCTATTTTCCATAAGATTAAATCAGGATAGATAGTACAAAGTGATACTTTACACAGAAGAATGTATTTTCTTCATTTCTAAATATAGGGATTATCACTTCTTAATGCAACAATATATGATAGCCTTGTGCATGAGCCCTAATGGTAACCAATGTTACTCCCTACTGATTACTGCTGGGAATCAGCTCAGGGTTGTCCAAGGACTCTGAAACTTTGTATCTTGTGTTGGTGCTAATTGTCCTAGGTCTGGAGGGCTGAGTAGACCGAAATCACAATGCAGAATACACATGTAACAGTGGAAAAACAGCAGGAGGGGGCATTCAGAAGTGATCAGAATTGCGGCAGATTAATCACATGGTATGATATAGATTATATATATATATAATATATATATATACATATAAATATAATATATATATATATATATATATATATATATACACACACACATAAATCATTTCAAAATATATTCATTCAGTACAAGGAAATACCTCTTATTATCAAGCTCCGGGGAGATCACAGTGAAAGAAGCTTCATTTGCAGGTTTTTCACTGATAACAAATAAAACATAGTTAGAAAAAAACCTCTATACAAAATGTTATGTTATGGACAGGGCTGCGTGATAGCAAAATACACATGCGTAAAAATATTTGAATGTTCCAGGGATTAAGGGAGGTTTCCCCTATCCCGAGGCCCTCCTTACCCTCTCCTACTCCTAACCTACCCTTTTCTTATCTCCTCTGTAAATTTTCTTTCTTGTCCCATAGCTCACAGTCTTCTGTACCTTTTGGTATTCTTCAAGATTGCAATGACTTGGCAGTTGGGTTGCCCCAATAATATGTTAATGTATTACATGTGTGGGTGATCCCACCGATATGGCCATAATGCGACTTTGGGTAGTGAAGTTTCTGACCTGTAACTATCCTCGGAGAATGCCAGATATATTGCTATCTTTGTATTCATTTATCGTTTTGTAACATGTAAAATGTCAATACGAATTTATTGAAACAAAAAAGAAGATATTTATGTCATAGAGTATGCCCTTTGCTGCTTTTTCTTTAACTGCACAGCCAAGAAATCCCTAGACAGCTAAGTCTGAAGTCCATGACGTCTGCCTAGGTACGAAATAGCCTCTTTTCTCATATTAATTAATTAATCTAATTGGCTATCTAATATCAATTTAATGTCTTTAACACTGACATTTAGTAGGACTAGTCTAGCTGGAAGTAGATCAACCTACCAGTATGTTTTGGGTTTTTTTGCAGAAACAGTAAAACACATATAAACATGGGCAGGACTAGCAAATAATGTAAAACAAGGCACTTGGTAGGAACTGAAACAAAGGACCTATAACTACAAGGCAAAGATACTAACCACTTAGCTACTGTGATGCCTGTCAATACCCCCTAAAGCAACTAGACAGCTTTTCTTGTTGCATCTTACATTTAGTTATACAAAATTCTATTCATTCAGCTATTTCATTGAAATATTAACATGTTCAAAGGGATCATGTAAATTATAGATAAAAAGGATAAGCTGTCATCAGATGAATTTAATGACTTGTTGAGATCATTTGCAACTAGTACTTCTAAAACATTCCACGTCCAAATTTAATATCACAGTTAAGATCCCCCAATTCATTCAATAACACCTAAAATCCACCAACTTTCAAGTGAAGCCCCAATCATGGAAATGCCAAAACTGGACTTTATTGGGACTTCTGGGACAGTTTGGATTTAGACACTGCTTGGTAATTCAGGTCTACTTTTATGATTTTTGTTTATAGCAGGAGTGTTTCCAGACTTCATTGTGGTATAACAGGGATAACCGGCTCTGTTGGAAAGTTTAAATTTTATTTTTAAATATATACTTCTAGATTAACAATAGATGACAGGCACATACAAACAAAAGATCCAAAAGACTCTAAATTAGCAAGCGGGCAGGGAAAAACTGCAGTATTAAATACTTGCCTGTCTTTATTGGTGTTACGAGGAACTGGTGTTGGGGCTGTTGCTGGTTTCTCCTTTGAAAGTCTGTAAAAAAATATAGGTATAAACTATTAGCTCTATGACCTAATAAATACTTTTAAAGCACTTCCTTCATAAAGTGATTAAAGTGTATATATACCCAGAACCTTTTTTTGTTTTGGATAGAGTTGAGAAGGATTAGAGGCCTAGTCAGGTTTTACTGCTGTCATAGAAATTTCCCTTCACTTTCTGTTCTGGGGAGAACCTTTTACCAGACAGAAAGTCGGGAAAAATCTTTAACAGGGAATTACTGTTCTAGATCAGTGGTCTCCAAACTACGGTCATTTCCTTGTCTTTATCTGGCCCCTAGGGATTTATTCCCCCCATTGTCAAAAATAGTGGGGCAAAGTTCCTGCCACTGACAGCAATGATGGGGTATTAATCCTCCCACTGACAGCAATGATGGGGCAGTACTCTTCCCATTGATACCAACGATAAGGCACTATTCCTCCCACTGACACCAAATGATGGGACACTATTCCTCCCACTGGCACCCAACGATGGGACACTATTCCTCACACTGACACCCAATGTTGGGGCACTATTCCTCCCACTGACCCCAATGATGGGGCACTATTCCTCCCACTGACACCAATGATGGGGCACTATTCCTCCCACTGACACCAATGATGCGGCACTATTCCGCCCACTGACAACAATCATGGTCACTATTTCTTCCACTGCCACCAACAACAGGACACTATACCTTCCACTGACACCAATGATGGGGCACTATTCCTCCCACTGGGAAAAAATGATGGGGCACTATTCCTCCCACTGACAACAATGATGGGGCACTATTCCTCCCACTGAAAACAATGATGGGAACTATTCCTCTCACTGACACCAACAACGGGACACTATTCCTTCCGCTAGTATCAATATTGGGGCACTATTACTTCCCCTAGTACCAATGATGGGGAATTGTTTACTCCCACTGATACCAGGACATGTTCTTCTCCCACTGGCTACAGCCTAGCCTCCCCCTAAAGTTTAAAGGACAGTAAACTGGCCCTTTGTTTAGAAAGTTTGGAGACCCCTGTTCTAGATTAACAAACTGCATGCATTCTATGAAGCTCAGCATCTGCTTCCTCCACACCTATCCACTAGTACTGCATGTCTTCAGTAGGTTAAAACTGAGCATGACTCATTACCAGACTGAATCCCATGCTGGCCTCATAAGCTATGTTAGCCATTAACTTTATCGAAAACAATCAATTATAGAGACTTACAAATTGAACAAACTTTCACCTAAATATTAACCAACATAA